GGCATGCAGAGAAATGCCGTGAAAGCCGTTTCTGAACTTGGGTCTTTCGTGACCTCTGGAAGCCCAGAAGTCACCTCTAAGGAAACTCGTCTTTAAAAGCATTCACTGGCTGATTTGTTGAGATGGAGACAGAGAGAGAGACAGGCAGCCTCGGCCCGATGCCAGCTTAGCCGAGATCACGGCAGGCATTCCACTTTGCGCTCGCCACACGCTCGCCGTGGGGAGCAGACCCCCACCCTCACCGGGCCTTGTGCTGCCACATGTCCACACTGGCTGCGAGGTTCGGGCTTCCGCGTAGTTTGTTAGATGAGGGCCTGAGCGTGCTAAGTCGACGTGGGGTGATTGCCATTCCTTCTGCTCTGCTGTGCTCTCACTTCCAAGATCAAAGTTACTGAACTAGAGCACATCAGCCCCATGACGTGTGTTTGTGCGTGCGCATGTGTGTGTGCACATCTGTGTGCATGCGTGCATGTGTGTGTGTAAGAAAAACCACCCCACTGGGAAACCACGCCATTGTTTGGGAGACAATGCCCATGTACTGGGACCTTTCCTTTTTTTTTTTTTTCTTTTGAAAGGGGTGCGTGCACTCGCCAGAAAGGTAGAGAGAGACAGAGAGATAGAAAGCGAGAAATCACCCCCCGGGGGAATGGCCACGTTGCAATCCCTTCTCCTCCATTCTCTTCTCGGGATCTTGGGCATGCATGCACATGTGCTCGGTGTGAGTTTAAGCCACTGGGCCTGGGACTCAAACTGCAATTGACGACATGGGAGTCCAGCGACCCAGCCATTCCGCCATCTGCTGGTCCCCACATACTAGGACATTTCTAAAGGGGATGTTCTGTGTGTACACTTGCGTGTAAGTTGGGCCTAGTTTGAACTTGAGCCAGGTGGCTAAAGTGGGTCCTCAGGGAACTGAGCGAGGCGGAGTGGCAGTCGTGCCCGGCGTGCAGACGTGCGTCCAGGGAGGGCGCTCGTCGCATAGTAGCCGCGTTCTGCCGCTCCACCTCGTGTTCCCTTCCGGGCTTTGCCCTGGCCAGCCAGGGTCACTCCCTCCAAAACCCTGGTCCACGGTTGGTTGTGACAAACGCACAGCTCCTGGCTCAGTGACAAGTGGGCACGCCAGGAGGGTCTGCTTGCTCAGGACCCCACCAAGGAGTGGGCATGTGGAGGTGGTGATGGGGGACACTGCAGGAGGGCAGTCCCGCAGCACACAGGGTTGGCACACCGCTGGGCGAGGTCGCAGACGTCTGGTATAGGGATGGGCCAGACAGGGTGACAGCTCAGGGAAGCCCTGGGACACCCACAGGTCTCCTGTAGTGATGAGCTCTCCTGTGCAACTGTTGCAGGTGGGTCCCAGCGGGTCAGAATCCATCTCCCTGGGGCTGGGCGACCCTGTAAGTCTTCTCTGAATAAGCCTGCTTACGGCCACACAGACAGACCTGCGGCTAGAGAAAGACAGGGTCTCTTGGCTCTGGTTAAAAAGATGCGCTCCAGCCGGCCTCTTTCCACCTACTGTGCTGGGCGCAGATCTCTGTATTGGCTTCTGCTTGAGCCATGCCTGTCCCTTTTAGACTTATTTGATCAAATGCACACTTAAACATGCACACTTAAACATGCACACCTAAACATGCACACTTAAACATGCACACTTAAACATGCACGCTTAAACATGCACGCTGCCCTACACACTGGAGAACTTACGCACACAGCATTTCTGTTTTAGCTGGCAAACGGATGGGTTTACGGAGAGGTGTACTCGGACTCGTCCAAGGTCCAGCCCTTGATGAAGCCATACAAGCTACTCTCCGAAAAGGTGAGGCGCCTTGTTCCCGTAGTGATAGTGTTCATGTTTTGGGGAACTGTGTTGTTACATATTTATTTTCTTAAAATGTCTTTTCTGTGTTTAGTACTTTTTTACTTTTATTCATAGGTCCCACTTTTTATCTTGTATTTTGCCTGTTTCTTCTCATCCCCGTTTTCTGTCAGTATGCCGTTGGTTACTGGGCTCTCTTGTGACTGTCCCCCTCTCCCCTTTCTAAGCTGGAGGGTACAGACAGGTCCTGCAGCCCCTCCTCTCCCGTCCCACCCCCGCTTGGGGCTTTGGGCATGTGCTGCCAGTTTCAGGGGTTGGACTGGTCGGCCATGCGGGGTCCAGCCGTGCATGGTCACCAGGCAGTGGGGCCGGCCTTCTCTTTCCTCTTCATATTTGCTCTTGTCCCGTCATTTTACGGACTTTAGCGATGATCTTATTATTCTGAATAGTTTCTTGATGAAGGAGGAAGGGATGTTTAGTGTACTTACGCGTTCGTGGACTTGACTTCTTTGAGGGAAAGGGAATTTTCTCGAGGGAAGTCTCGTGTGCCGCCCTGGTCATCCTTGAGTGTGCCGCCCTGCCCTGGCCTCCTCGAGGCGCGGGATTACAGGTTTCCCCGCCACTGGGCCCAGCATGGAGGTGGGACCCAGAATTGAACCGGGGCCTCCCCTGTGGTTCCTGTCTGTGTGGTACAGCGCTACCGCAGTGTGACACCACAGCTGGGTCAGAATGCCCGTCTCCACAAAGGAAGAGAAAAGGCTTTTCTAGCACGGGCCCGAGGAGGAGGTCGCTCCCTCTTTGCTCGGAGGGTGGAGCGGTGGAGTATGCACGTGGTCACACAGCCTGTCACCCTCAGACTCCCGTGAAGTATGTGGGCTGGGAAACCCACCCCCTGCTAAGCGGTGAGCGAGGACTGCTCCTAGCGGCATCCGTCAGCCCCGTTCCGTCCATCTCCGCTGTTTAGAACTCTACCTTCATTTTTATTGCTAAGTAAGCTATGCTGATAATTTTTACATTTTTAAAAAATATTTTTAAATCGTTATTCATACATTAAATCGCTGTCCATCATCTAGATTGTGAAGAGGCTTTACCCAGCATGAGTGACACCTCAGTCCAGCCCAGCTGAGACCACACACATCCTCGTCAACAGATGACAAACCTGACCTGTGTTCCCCACGTGTCTTACCTCTCCATTTCCCCCACATTCCCTCCGCCCCCCCACTCTCTTTCCACGTTGTCTCTAGTGTCCATACGATTACTAATACTTTTTTGCTCCCCAGTCTTTCAGTCCCGACCACAGAGTGCCGACAGTCGGTGTATGTTAAGTGACTGTGAAACAAATCTTCCATACTCACCCACTTTCTATCAAATTCCAGCTGGTCTTTTTTTTAAAGTAAAGGTGATCTATTTTAGAATAAAGTGTTAACTATTTAAACTTCTCATTTACGGTTGTAATTTTACAGTTTTTTTGTTTGCTTGTTTTTGCTTTAGGAAAAAGAAATTTATCGCTGGCCAATCAAGGAATCTTTAAAGACCATGCTGGCATGGGGCTGGAGGATCGAGAGGACGCGGGAGGGGGACAGCATGGCCCTGTATAACCGGGCTCGCCGCATTTCTCAGACTAGCCAGGTGAGGGACACAGGGCGGGATCGGCTTTTCCCTTTAGAAATGACTAATGCCTAATTCAGTCATTGGGTTTTCAAAAAACGTGATTTGGCTATGTCACTGGACTCCCACGTAGTCAACTGCGGTTCAAGTCCCAGACCCGGTGGCTTAAACTCACGCCGGGCGCATGTGTGTGTGTGCCCAAGATCCCAAAAGGAGAATGGAGGAGGAGGGATTGCAGCGTGGCCATCCCCCCTGGGGGGGGGGGTGATTTCTCGTTTTCTGTCTCTCTGTCTGGCAAGTGCACGCGCCCTATAGCAAAAACCTCTCAAAAAAAACCCAAAACCAAACCAAAACAAAAAAACGTTATTTAAAAATTCCGAAGACTAACTTAAAATCCAGAAGGGAGAGAGAAGAGAACTTGTTCATTTAAGGAATTTATTCCTTAGGTTTTGTCTGTCTGTTTTACTGATAGTCCTGTCATGAGACACGTATCCTGGGTGGGTTCTGTCACTCCCGATCCCCTTTCTGCAGCCCTCCATCTCCTTGGGATCCTGGTGCCCACGCGCGTGCCCGGCACGTGTGCCTGGCCTGGGCGGCCTCCAGCACTGCTACCATGCCACACTAGCTGGCCATATGTCTTGCTGGTGTGGGGCGAGCCGACCTTTGGCCTCTGTGTGGAGTTTAAGCCAGAGCCTCGCTCTCCCTGGCTGGTTCGGGATGGGGATTGAGTGAGGCCTGAGGTCCCCGGACACAGGAGCAGACAACCGCTCAGCCCGCTCAGGCAGGGCCCGGGATCGCCTCAAGGACACGGCTCGTGCTTGGCTGGCAGTGCTTCCGAAGCCAACCCTGTCTACACCTGCCCAACGTAACACTTGGCCTTTGCAGTCATTCGGGTTCTCATTTTAGAATGGTAAAAAGTGCATCTGCTTTGCAGTTGCGGGGAACAAACGGGGTGACTGCTGTGGACGAAAGCAGGTTATGGTCAAGGCTCTGGGCTCACAGGGGCAGGTGGTGCCTGCGTGTCTCAGCATGGTGGCAGCCGTCGGCCAGGTGTCCTGGACGCTCCCGTCTGATGCTGCACTGAGGGTGGTTAGTGCTGGCTCAGCCCTTCCACCGTTTTCACTGCAGCAAGGAGAGGGGCTGTCACCTACCTGGCAGGGAGAGGCCGAGCGTGGGAAGAGCTGAGGGTTGGAAATGCACAGGTCGGAGCCTGCTAGCCGTAAGGGCCCAGCCGGGGTGGGCTGTGTGTTGCTGATGCCCCTGCAGACACCGCCGGTCCCGGGTGGGCAGCCATCTCACTGGCCTGTGGCCCCTCAGCTAGGTTTTCATCATCGGAGCAGCTTGGCTCTAGAGTGGAGGAAGCCCACGCGACGGCTGTTAAGTGGCATTTGACGGTTACCTCTGAAGTCTGTGGGCTCCGTGGTCAGCTTAGCTGGTGTGGGGGTACAACAAACACTCCTTGTCACGAGGACGCAGGTGCCACCTTGACCTACAGGTCACGTCACAGTCTACTGGACCTGGTGGGTCCTGGTGAGAGGCGGGGGGCCCAGTCACATCTGACCCGCGGTCGAGGGCTGCACACGGGCTGAGGCTGCTGCAGTGTGGCCGTCCGGCCGGCCCTGGGTGAATCCCGCTCTGTCTTACGAGCATGATTTGAGGTGCATTTTTATTTTGCTTTTTGTTTCTGCATTTGTAATATGAGAATACACGCAATTGTGGAATACACTAAGATACGGTTTTAGATTTATGAGCAGGAACCGGAGCTCATTCTGGGGCACACCTTCATATGCCATGACATTCGCGAGACCTGAAATCGACGAGGAAATATATTTTATTTTTAAAATGCTATAAGTTAGGGCCAGCAGGTGGCATGGTGGTTAAGGTTCTGGACTCCTACATGGCCAACCGTGGTTTAAGACCTGGACCTGACAGCTTGAAATTCACGCCAGGATCATTTGCATGTACATGCCCTAACTCCCAGGAGGGGGATGGAGGAGAAGGGACGACCGTGGCCACTCCCAGGCTGATGTCCTGCTTCGCCTCTCTTTGTCTGTCCTCTCTGTCTGTCTCTCTGTCTGTCCTCTCTCTGTCTCTCTCTGTCTGTCTCTCTCTGTCTGCCCCTCTCTGTCCTCTGTCTGTCCTCTCTCTCTGTCTGTCCTCTCTCTGTCTGTCTGTCTCTCTCTGTCCTCTCTCTGTCTCTCTCTGTCTGTCTCTCTCTGTCTG